ACCATCAGGGGAGATAGTACAACGCTGTACACTGTTCTCAGGGGCTTGAAGTAGTTCTGAAACCTGACTTGTGGTATGTAACCAATTTTGTATGAGTAATGATATCTGGGGAAAAAAAAAAGATTATGGGTGTTTGTTTAAAAAAATAAATCAGTGATTGATTAACAGATCAACAAAATGGACACACAAATGTACTGCAAGTTTAAGTGGAACATATAATCAACACAAATCTGGTACAACTTAAGACATCGATTTACCTGTTAAAAGTGACACTCAACAGGGAGCGAGAAAGGCATGGCACGGCGGATCGGCCACGGTTCCACCTCTGGAGAGTAGCGCAGTATGTTGGAATATGTTACTCTTTTGTTTATTAACTGCATTCAAAAAGACAAAGATAATTTCAAAGTTTATCAAGTGAACATGGAGACTTTGAGTTACATTTTTTCCCAAGTGCCTTAAAGGGATACTCCACACAAAAAATTAAAAATTCTGTCATCATTTACTCACCTTCAAGTTGTTCCAAACCTGTATGAGTTTTATTTCGTCTGCTGTTGAACACAAAAGAAGATATTTTGAAGAATGTCGTTCACCAAACAGTTGATGGGCCCCATTGACTTCCATAGTATTTTTTTTCTCTCCATACTGGACGTCAATAAGGCCGTGGGCCTGTTTGGTTAACAATATTCTTCAAAATATCTTCTTATGTGTTGATTTTTGGGTAAACTAATCCTTTAATTTCTTCCATACCATTTCAACATGTAGCATAGTAGTTTCCACAATGTTTGCAAACGCCCATTGTGAAGTTATCAAATTAAAAAAGTAACAGACAAAAATACAATAAGCAACATATGTAGCCCCTTAAGTAAGGAAGAAAAAATGCAAACAAAAAAGAAACGACAAAGAAAAACAAACCAGCTAAGCACACCTGTCTTTTACTGCCACATTGATCCATGTCGTAAATAAACACATGATAGTGCTTTGTAGTCTTGCTGACGTCACATGTTCCCAGTTTTAGCTCAGACCCCAAGCTATCGTGTCCTAAAATCTGTTTGTTGACTTGAACCATCATTTTCTTCTTTAGGCAAACGACGTTTACTTGTTGTGATCGACCGCGTCGACGGGAGCTCTCGCGTACAGTGACGCGCGGGACGAGGACTTCTTTCGTCGCTTCGGGCAGTTGTTCAAGGCCCGACCCACGCTTTGGAGTGAACTGCACTTTGTCCAAAAGAGGGATTCTAGAATGCTGGAAAATGGGAAGTTGCAAATACGGCGAGCCAGCAGCAGATCCTTCAAAATCTTCTCCAAATCGTATGTCCAGTTCCGACCCTGAGGTCGAATCGATGGCGTGTTTAAGCGCAGCTCGTAAGGCGTAAACATATTTGGAGAAAAATACCACTAAAGTAAATAATACTGTTAAATAAAGCTTCATATCTCTAAACCTCATCAAAGTAATACTCACAATCACTCAAACAACCTTGACATATTTCACATAACCGAGATGGGTGAGTTAATTAGCAACGCACCTGTCGTCTTCAAGCACTGTCATTTCCACGAACCGTTTTTTTTTTTTTTTTTTTGAGCAGTTCTCAAAACAGATTCAGCGTTTCTTTTACGTCATCAAATGATACCTGGTTATTATTGTTTTATCTATCTCTGATAATAATAGATTTCATTGTAAATTTACATACTTGTTGTACGTAACTTATTAATATTGTAACAGAAGTATTTTCCCCCTCGGGGCTTGCCGTAGATTTGCATATGTCATGCGCACTGGGTACTTTAAGGGTGTTTACTGTTTAGAAGTTAGTGATCGAGTGTGACTTATTTTTGAGTGTTAGGCGAACCCTGTAATATGGACGCTCGGTCACATTATTTACAGACCGTCTATAATGTTCCTCAAATTTTCCTGGTGATGTCTAAACTTCTCTTGACTGTATTTCAGAAATAATTTCGGTCGAAAATCTCTGATGCGAACAGCAACATGCAAAGGGAGGCAGGTCACACAAATATAGGCTACAACAGAGTTATACTGCAAAATGACATCTCCCTCTTTTTTCACACAGGATGGCTTTAATGTTATCCAAATTCAGTCTCCTAATGCCTAATCTCCTTTATTTCATAATCCAGAAAGCATTTTGGTCTGATGTGACTAACTAACAATTAGACATCGCCTACAGCACGGTCATTAAATCAGACAGTAAGCCTACATTAGAGATTTCTCTGTTCTTTATTCTTAGTCTATTGGTCACAACATTTATTCAGACCATGTCTAATCTCTTGTTATTTTCTAGAGAGTTTATGGCCATGTTTAGGTGGAGGATCTGACACTGACAGCCATCCTCAAGCTACAACTGACATCGCCAGGAATAATATAAATTGAATCATATAAAACAGCTGATTTTTACTTTATGATACCTTTGCATATTCCTCCTAAGAAGTCTTTAGTTTAATTCCAAACGTCAAGTAGAGTTGCTTATGATTTAGGTTATATTATTTAAATTAGATTATATATTTTGCATTTTGCATAAAGCAAATTAAACCCATTTTAGGACCATTGAAAAAAAATCTCAGTCACACTTTACAATATAGTTTTCATTTGTAAACTACAGTTTAATATGAACTAAAAACGAAAAATACTTCTACAGCATTTATTAATCTTAGTTCATCTCAACATTTACTAATACCTTTTTATAATATCAAAAGCAGTATCTGTTAAACATTAGTTAATGCACTGTGAACTAACATGAACATTTTAATTAACAAACAATTGCTGCAAAAATGTATTGCTCACTGTAAGTTTGTGTTAGTTAATGCATTAATAAATGTTAACAATGATAACTTATTGTAAAGTGTAACCAAAATATCATTATTGTATACGTTTAATATTTTCATTATTAATTTTAAAATCAGTACAAACAAAGCTTTATGTAAAATAAAGAAAATCTTAATGGTCATAAATATCTGCTAAAATTTTCTTTAAATATTTTTCTTTTGATATTGGGATAAATTATGACCTGTGAGATTTTCCTGTTAAAAATAAATTGTTCATTTAATGAGAGGCATCAAAAAGGTCACAGGACATACGGAATCAGTAAAGAAGAACTAATGCTCAATCAAAAACGTTTTAATATTCCCATGACATTACAGTGGATGTCAGGACTGTACATTGAAGCATTCCTATTATGCAAATTCGTGAATTCACTTAAATCCATGACCAAAACACTGACTTTAAGAAAGTATGCAGAGATCTTTTGCCCCACAAATGCAACTCCAAAAAAAAGGTCCATCGAGGATCCTAAAACAGAAAAAAACAAAGCTAGAAAAATATCAAGCAACTCTCATGAAGTCCAGCTAAATTCATACCTTTTAGACCCTGGAACGATCTCAAACGTCAGTCCCCCATTTCTCGCTCACTGGGTGGGTTAATGTTCCTCTCTATTCCACTCCATTGGTTCTTGTTTGGCATTTAAAAATACCTCTTCACCAATCGCCATGTATGAGGGTCCTGTGGTTCGTACCGGCATGCTCTTCTCAAAAACTTCAGGCTTTATTTTATATTTGGACAGTTCTTCTCTGGTAATGTCAATCAGTTGATTTAATCCACTCTTGCTGGACCCTTTGTCATCATTAACATCTTCCAAAAGCTCAGTGCTCCTGAGACTCCCAGCATCCTCCTCGAGTGCTACAACACCATCCATCGGTTCCCCGACAGACATCACTTTTCCAGAACGATCGCCCTCCTCATCCTTTATAGCAGTTGTTTCCTCTGTCTGAACAATTACATCCTCGTCAAGGTTTTTCAAGGGAATATTTTTATTTTCTTTGATTTGTTTCTCAGTATCAGTTTCAGTCTCAACAGTGTAACCGTCTTTCTCGTTACTGATTCCTTCTGCGCTCTTGAGACTCCCAGCCTCCTCCTCGAGCTCTACAACACCATCCATCGGTTCCCCAAAAGATATCACTTTTCCAGAACGATCGCCCTCATCCTTTAACTCTATAGCAGTTGTTTCCTCTTTCCCAACAATTACTTCTACATCCTCATCTAAGTCTTTCATGGGCATCTTTTTATTTTCTTCTTTTGCTTCAATTTGTTTTTCAGTATCAGTCTCCACAGTGTAACCATCTTCCTCTTCATCGATTCCTTCTGCGCTCTTGAGTCTCCCAGCACCCTGCTCGAGCTCTACAACACCATCCATCTGTTCTCCAAAAGACATCACTTTTCCAGAACGATCCCCCTCATCCTTCAACTCTATAGCAGTTGTTTCCTCTTTCCCAACAATTACTTCTACATCCTCATCCAAGTCTTTCACAGGCATCTTTTTATTCTCTTTTGCTTTCATTTGTTTTTCAGTATCAGACACAGCCCCCACAGTGTAATGATCATCTTCCTCTTCACCGATTCCATTTGCGCTCTTGAACTTCACCTCCTCTATGTCCTTCTGAACACCGGACAATCCTTTTCCTTTGATTAAATATTGTTCGTTCTTGTCCATTACCCAGGGTAGACTAGTTACCAGAGATTGTGTTGAACGGGGCAAAGAAGCTGTTGCAAAAGCAAGAACAAAACATTAATGTATAGGGTTTTCATTTCAAGTTTTGATAGTCGCTGATGCATTCTACTTACAAGTTGCTTCAATTTCACAAACTGAATCACAACATGCACAAACGGACGCATCAGTGTAGAGTTCGTCCCACCTGTTGGTACAAGATTAGAATCTTGCTTCTCTGCATTTACACAGTATTTTGCACATATGTGAAATACAATTATTCACCCTCTCTCTGCATGGTTATAAGTGCAGGATTTTGCTGAAGCGCTTGTGGCATCGTGAACCGATATTGTGCAATGCAGGTAAAAGTGCTGTAAAAATGAGGAAAAAATGCAATCAACACATACATTTACACAATATACATGTATGTAATCAACACAAACATTCATTTCATGCATGACAGACAGATCGACATATCCATACCTACATATCAGACAGGGGCAAGTTGTCACATGTTTTATGTTGCCATTTCTATACAAAAATTCTCTCAGACAATTTATGGGTTTGGTCATTTTGTTCATTAACTTAAATTTTTTCTGTGTCAATGCATGTTAAATCAGTCAATTCCCACAATCAATATTCTACAAGTTATCTGCAGCTAAGACTTCAAGGTGTGGAACTAAGAATAAACCCAATATCAAAACCCCACCCTACAAATAACAAATAGTCTCTAGTTTTATTATATATATATATATATAGTATGAGTTATATGAGTTCACCCCTGACATTTCAGCAAATATTTTAGTATATCTTCTAAAGCGACTATATATGTATATGACTATATATGTATGTATGTATACATGTATATATATATATATATATATATACACACACACACGCTTGTATATATCCAAGAAATATTTTCACGTATAAACTGTATATATAAATTTTATATATAAATAATATATTTTTCTTAAATATACATGCATGTGTGTGTGTGTATTTATATATATATATATATATATATATATACACACACACACACACACACACATACACAAAATAATTATACACAGTGCACCCACATACTTTTATTTTGTAAAACTTATTACTTTTATTAAACTTTTATTTTGGAAGCGATTAATCGTTATTAATCATTTGACAGCCCTAAAATATATATATATATATTAGGTCTGTCATACAATTTATATATATATAGGGCTGTCAAACGATTAATCGCTTCCATATATATATATATATATATATAAATACACACACATGCATGTATATTTAAGAATTTTTTTTTATTTATATATAAAATATTTATACAGTTTATACATGAAAATATTTCTTAAATATATACAAGCATGTGATATATATATATATATATATATATATATATATATATATATATATATATATAACCTATTTAAGAATGAAAACATTACCGTGCCAGTAACTTGGGGGAGTAAAAAGGCATCAACCGAAAACCTTATAATATTTGACTGTCTTTGGAAAAAGCGGGAGAGACTTCCTTGTCTTCTGCTGTCCTCCATACACCTGAAATTGAGGTTTGGTGTTTAATTTTATTCTTTCTCCACACTAAAAGTGTCCTTATGTTAAAAAAAAGCAGAGTGTACCAAAGAGCTTACCCATAATTACAAATAACATTGTGTTGTGGAATAGACTTTGGATCTCTGGATGCTGTCGCATAGCAGGAGTCAACAAAAATCATCTCGTCTTTGGACACATGAGCAGCGCTGACTTCAAAATACATGGGCTCCCCAAGCATAAAACTCACATTTTCTTCAAGTCTTTCCCAGCGTTCTGGAGTTCACACAGTTTAATAGACTGATGAGTACCAACAAAAACATGAAATTAAATATAAGGAGAGGAAAAGCTTACCATTACACACAGAAATACTAAACTTGGCTCTACGCTCAAAAATCTTGTGAAACTTGTGCTCCCTCAGCACAGGCTGGAAGCCTATTTTGTAGGAATAATGAAATCTAGAATTTGGAGGAAACAAAAGATGAGGTGAACAAAACAAAAGGTGAATTTCATTTCCAACTCCGGAAACCTCTTCAGATTCAAGGTTTACCTGTTGTATAGGCACTGGATGTTTAGCGTGAGGGGCACCGCTCGGATGACTGTCCCTTGAGGCTCTGGTGTATAGCGCAACGTGTTAGAATACATGATCTGGCCGTTCATCATCTGAGGAGGATCAAACGTTGTAATATGGTGTAAAAATCAAGATTGATTATTATTTAAGGACTATTGCAGTATTTATTATTATCAATGCACATATTTACTTTTTATTTTTAATTCATGTGCCCTCATAATCTTTAATCAAAATAACTGTAATCTTAAACACCTGTTTATATAAAATGTACATATTCTACTACATGCCTTCTGTTGTGCAAGTGAAAGTTTACCTTTGTTTCTTTTTTTTTTTTTAAAGAAATTACATTAAAGCCCATCAGAATTTCATTTAACTTTTGGGATATACAAACATCAACAACTGCACCAAATTACATAATTTTGCTCATTTTGGGCCTCGGAATAAATTCTTTAGATTCTTAATAAAGGTTTCATATTCTCCTTTATCATAATACGAACCTAATGTATCAAATAAGATAGGCCTACTCGACAACAACAACAACAAAAAACTTTTAGGATTATTATGAGAATTTGACATTACCACATCTTAATGCATTCCGGTTTTCTAAATAATGGAAAAGTGACCAATCACAAATATTTTAAACATTTGACCAGCTATAATTTTCAGGTTTACACAGAATTTTAATGTGTTGAAAAAGATATCTTTTTTAACTAAATTTTTTGCACACATTTATGAATACACTGTAAAAAAATTTTCAAGATTTATTATTTAAATGTTCAAGTCTCATGTCAAATCAACTTAAATAATTTATTTAGTTCAGATAACTTATTATTTTGAGTTTCTGATGATTAAATCAATCTCCTTCATTTTATTAACTCACTTTTTCCAGTTCAATCGACTTAAAATTAAGGCAACCAGGTTACTTAATTTAAGTTAAACCATCAATTTTTTTAAACCGTACAAATATAGGCAGGGCCGTATTAAGAGCTCACTGGGCCCCGGGGCTATGAGTTACTGCAGGGCCCCCCCACCACTTTAGGTCGCCAACTACATGAGCTAAATGTTATATTATTATAGCCTACGAGTCATTTTATCCATGATATACTTCACAGTTAAGTTATGTTACTTTTAACATGATTTTTTTATCATATCAAAATGTATTGACTAAAATTTCATAATTATTGTGACCAATTTCAATATCACCAAAAAATAATAGTAGCTTAAGAAAATAATCTCAAGCTTACTGATGACAAGAGTCACAAATTAAAATAGAAAAAGGCACAATAAATCGACCTATGAAAAACTTAAAGCACTGAATAATATTATATAAAGTAATCAAATATACAATACATGGTTTTCACTATAAATTCAACATTCATTCTTGTTAATTTTGCAAAAGTAATTCAGTCAAATGCAGTAAATTACTTTCTTTCTGATGTTTGATTAACATTATTGACACACATGGCGACAGCAGCTTTATTAGCAGCGTCTGTCACTTTGAGACCTCAGAGTCGGATTCAAGTGCGCTGTGCAAAACCGTCTCAAGTTCACCACAGTCTATGGTTCACCTTGGTCTCAAAACCAGCATTTACAAAATAAATTCTCCCGCTGCTCACTGTGCCTGAGCAGTTTGAAATATTTTGTATCCAAACCACAACGTTTAAAAACGCGTTTAAATGATAAACTTACATCATGATGGCGCAGCAAAATTTAAATATTTCTACCGGATATATTATCGCCAGTCCTTTAGGCGAATATAGAGTTTAATCAAACACAAAAAGCAAAATTATACATCCATCAAGTTAATATTCAAACTTACCGAAAGTTTGTGGGGTCGATGATGACGCTGTGTTTTAAGAATAGACTCGAATGAAGAGAAGAGTAAAGGCGATTTATTGGTTGATATATAACCTATTCTAATAAGGCGCAGGCAGCCATCATCTATAGGCCTACGTGCAGCAGCAGGTCGGTCGTTCACAAGTTAAATATAGAATAAATATATTTGTCATATCAAATTAAAACCTGACGTTTCAATTTACCATGCCCTGCTCAGAGCCGTTGGCCCTGCATGCCTAGGGGGTTTGATTGACAGGTGGCCTGGCCAATCATAACGCCGAATACGCAACTTTGTCCGACAACAAAGCTGTCAGTCGGTGGACATGAACTTGAAAACGGTAATGTTTAAATTACTTAAATGACAATATTTGAAAGTTGAGACTTTGTTTCATATCAACAGTAAGCTGCTCTGAACTCTCTCTCGTAATCACTCGGTGTAACGTTAGTCTTTGCCCCGCGAAGTATTTTTCACTGCGTGAGTGCATGAGAACATGATGTGCGTGACTCGCGAGAGCCGCCTGGCTCGTGGCCCGTCCGTCACATAGTACCTAAAAAAGGCGGGTCTTTGCGAACGTCTCTATTAATGATAATGATTCCATGATAATACATGGAATATAAGGCAAAGTGCAACTAAATAACAGGGATAATTTGTGGGGGACGTTGCGTGGTAAGGCTTTGGTAATCAGATGGCTTGCAGTATCTGCTCCACAGCCAATCACGGGCCCCCTCCTTGCTTGGGCCCCGGGGCTTAAGCCCCGCCTAGCCCTATGGTTAATGCGGCCGTGAATATAGGCATATTAGCTGCCTGCCTACACTAAATATATGATCAAAAACATTGTTAAAGCAATGTTTTTTTAACATTGTTTTAACTCCACTTGGAATAACTCAGAATAAGTTGAACAATTTTTAACTTTTTTACAAGTTATACAAGATTTAGAATATTTTTTTTTTGTCAGTTTGATGTAATTTAAGTTGAAATTACTTAAATATTTAAGTAGATTGTAGCTACTTAATTTAAGGCAGCAACATTTTATTTTTTACAGTTTATATAGAAACCTCTGACAAAATCGGACCAAGACTGGGTTTATTGTGTATAATAACTTGGCTACTTACCGTAAAAGAGCTATCGCAGTCATTGAGGTCGTAATGGAAATATAAGAAGTTCTTGTCGGAGCGTGAGACAGGACATGTTCCCAGGTGAAACAAAGACGGTGAACTTCTGAAGCCCAGTAGATTCTCATTCATGCGCACCGAGATCGTACTGTAACCACACCAAACCTCTACGCCACGAGCATTACGCACGGGAGACACTTGGGCAAACTGAGGGTTCACTTGAGGAATTAGAAGACTAGTCAAAATCTTTGGTAATTGTCGTCTCCCGGAGACAGGCCTGAACAAATCCATGTCAACGAGAGGAACTGGAACATGTTGGAACATTGGGAAAACGTGATATGGTCGCATGGCCGGGGGGTTCTTCATAAACTCACTGTTTTCTGGCCACGGCCTGACAGCGCCTGACATGGGTTGCATGGCAAGGACTTTCTGTTCCGTGGATACGACGTTGCTATATGGGTGACCCCCGGTCCCATGATTGTATGCTCTGACAATGCACATTATGCCAAGAAAATACAAAGAACAACAAAAACACAAACTTATGCGCTCCATGACAGCCATTAACCTTTAAATGTGACATAAAGGAAGTAAATAAAACGCCGCTAACACCGCTAGGCGCGCCCTGTAGCCACCTGTTGATTGATGACGTGACGGCTAATTAACCGTTTCAATGAAAAAAAAGAGACGTCATCACGTAATTCACGCAAGTCCCATTGAAGCCTTTATTTAAGCACATATTGCGTTTAATATTAAGGTTTGTATATACAAAAAAATGTTTTAATTACGTGTAGCTACCCATGATTTAGCATTAGCCTATAGCCTAATAATTTTGTATAACACTACGGAAATCAATTTAACGTCAAAGTTTTTGGCTGAGAATTATTTTCTATTCAATTATATTCAAGCTTAAAGCCAATTTATTTATGTGGTTTGGTAAAACAATTGTTTTACTTGTTACATCCTTGCTAATCGGTTTTTAAATGAACTTGTAGCCTACTTAAGATCCTAAACTACTGCAAATAGGGGTGTGGAAACGATTGTTTTTGTAGAAAGACGAATTCAATGCTAAGTAGCACTTTTTGCCCTCAAGTACAAGCTAGTTTTCCTTACACCATGAATCTTTCTGTGTGACTTGTCTTTTAGGAAATGTCTTAATGAGCACTTAATATAGTCGAATTCATTCAAGCGCTTCATAAAAGTAAAAGACCAGCAATATATAGCTACCTTTTAGGTACGTACAACTTCCAGTTCCTTCCGATTTGTAGTAGGCCTAAATACATTAAAAATAAAATCAACCAGCTTGAGGCTTAAGATATTATCCCTAAACCAAACCAGAAGGAACTTCTTAACGTGTGTCTTCTCAATTAAATTTAATTGTCCCCCCTTTTAGATGCTTCTCCACTTCAACAGATGTTTTGGTTTATGTGAGGGTTTTATTGAGAGGTGACAGAGCAACACTTTGTTCTGGATACTGTCCCCCTATTAACCCCTTCATAGATAATATATATGATGCTATACTCTTCAATAATGACAGAGCACACACAAAAATCCGTAGTTGTGTCATAAGCAGCTCAGAAACATCTGCATTTTTCAAAGTTTATCAGTGCTCAGACACGTTTCTGACAGTGCATGGTGAGTGTGACATTTATATGGTGAGCAACGTCTGCTAAACATAACAAGATTAGAGGACCTACAGAGGCAACTCTCTCTTTAATAAAGAAACCAAAACTGATGATATCATAATACTTCAGACATTATGTTCTCATGAAGGATGATGTTGAAAAAAATGACAAAGTAAAGAAGCCAGTGAGGCCAATTACAAGTTTTAACTGGTTATTAAGAACATAAAGGACAGCAGTCATCATCACTGATCTGAGCAGAATAAGGTAGTTTTGCAGGTCCTGATGCCTCAAAAGGTTGCAGGTTCGAATCCCAGTCACTGGAATTAACCTCGAAAATGACATTTCACCCTAACATTGCTTTGACGTTAACTGGATGATGCATGGATGCTATGTACACAGATTACAATGGATGAAGATGTCATCAGTTAATTAAATATATGGTATTGGTCAGTCATACTGAATGAGGCTCGCATCCAATATGAAGTTCTCACATGATGTTTGAATTGTCATGGATTTCTACACAGTTGCATGAGGCTTGAATTTTTAGCTATACATATAATAAACCTTGATCAAACTCCTCTATAATCCTCTTCTGTTCAATTCCGTCCAGTGGCTGACCAATAAATCGAGGCACTTGTTTAATACCATGTTTCCGTTACATAATATAAATGTCAAGCTTTAACCTGTACCAAGAAAGAAAGCAAACCAAAAAAAAAAAACCAGCAGAAAACAGATTTTTCTTTTTTTTTTCTTTTTTCCTTGTTAAATAGTAATAAATACATGAGATGCAGTGTTTTATTTTTCATTTTTCTGAAGCAGGAGGGTTAAAAAGTTCTCATTTTTATTTATTTATTCATTTATTTATTTATCTGTCTGTTTTCTTTAGCAGCAATCCGAACATGAGAGTGGAGATAGCAGCCGAGAGAGAAGTAGTTCACTTTTTTGACTTGATGGCAAACAGCACTCACAGAGTGTTGTGAAGGAGGAAGGGGAGGAGGGGGAGAAGAAAGACAACAGAAAGCAAAATGAGAGGCAGGAAATGAAGTCAGAGTGGGAGGGGCTGCAGTCAGGAGGGCGTGACAGTGTCCCTTCAAACTGAAGTATTCCGCCCTCCTGCTAAATCTCGCCCCGGACTCTTCCTTCCAACAGAAACATGGGGTAAGCAAGAAAATAAAAAGAGAGAAAGAGAGCGAGCGAGAGAGAGAGAGAGCTACAGCAAGATTTGGCTTAGCATATCCAGAGTTAATACAAATGTGTTAACGCTTTCAGTTTTCTGTCCAAAACAAAGAGGGTTAGAAAAAAAGAGAGAAAGAGACAGAAACCAATGTAAGAAAGGGGTGAGAGAGAGAGAGTCTAGTGAGATGGTGAAGGCAGACTATTTTTTTGAAACGAACAACAGGGAAGCATTTTGGTTTTCCTTCTGGCAAAATGTTTTGATGTTTTTCAAGACTTTCCTGTATCACTTCCTCCTTTATGTGAAGTCGAGTTACGTTCCCCCTCTCCTCGTGAAAGCGGCTCATGATTCAGCCTCCTCCTCTAGTTGTTAGTTGGTGTTTCTCACTATGTGGCGACTAAAAACAGTTTCTGTCATTTGCTTTATTTCATTCGTAGGATTTGTTTCATAGTTTGAGATATATAAGCCAGTGTGTCAAGCGAGATAAAGACTGGAAACATTAAAAAAAAGTAACAAAAATGTGAGTGTATGTCTTCTGTGTGTGTGTGTTTGTGTGTGGGTTATGCTCAACTAGAAAAAAAGCAACCAAAAACAACAAAATGAAGCCAAGAAAAAAAAAAAAAAACTCAAACCCAGTTTGTTGGTTTTCTAAGCATAAGAATCATCTGTCTGAGCCCAAATAAAACAACTGTATAAATAAAACATTGAATAAATAAACCCCAAAAATACCCACCTCTCAATTTAGATCTCTTTCTAACCCCATCTCCCGCTCCCTATGTAGTGATTCTTAATAAATTAAAAATGTACAATTACGGCAAAACCTCAGAAAAAAAACAAACAAACAAACCAAAAAATAAAAAAGCATAAGGTACTCTCTCTCCCGCTGCTGTCGTCTCGACAAAAACATTCAATTTTTTTCAACACAAAACTCTCCTTTCCTCACCCCCCTCCCCCGCAAAAAAAACGGCAAATAAAAATCTCTCGCTGCAAACCTGTCCTGAAATCACATAAAATCAAATAACAAACGTTCTGAAACCTTCTGTTGCGACTACTTCGCTCGATGCTCTCCTCCTTCGATTAAAAAAAAACTAACAAACAGAAAAATAACGATAAAAACAGTTTCAAATCCCTCCCTTGACCTTCTCCCCATGCAAAACCAAAACAACGAAACGAAAAAACAAAATCAACTGTCTGATATTTCACAAGTTTTTCTCTGCGATTCTGTTAAGTGTGGCCGCGCGAGTGTGTGTTGTACGCTTACTACGTGTAATGTGTCGCGTGTGTGTGTGTACGTGTGGCGCTTTTTGTCACTGTTATGTTGTCGTTTAAAATTTTCGTATGGCTTTTGGAATTTGTTCAAGATTTATCAAGAGTTGGCTGCACTCTGACCGCTCCCACTCCCACTGCCGCACACTGCCATCATGGCGGACTCCTCGGAGTCCGGCCGCCCCCCAGCTCCCCCGACTCCTCTGGGCGGAGGCCCCCCGGTGAGCATCCCCCCCACTCCGACGCTTCCCTGCGGCGGGTTGTTATTGTTGTTGCTGCCGGCGTAGCACGGAGGGATGTATCCCAAACCGGAGGCAGCGACCATGCTGTCCTGGGAGGCTGGGGCCTGGGGCAACTGTTGCTGGGAAGCGGAAGGGGGCTGCTGGGGGGCCATGACTGTCCTAGTCCGAAAGGCAGAGAGGCCCAGGTGGAGGTTGGAGGAGCCGTACTGACTGGAGTCCAAGCTCGACGGGGGCGGCTGCATGATGGAAGACTGACCCAAGTGGTGGTGGTGGGTGAGGCTGAGCTCGATGCTGTCCTGCATCTGCGGGGAGGAGACGGGCATCAGCGCCGGGCCCTGCTGGCCCTGCGAGGCCTGGCCCTGCGGCTGGTTCTGCTGCTGCTGCTGTTGCCGGAGCTGTCTGCCGTTGCTGTGGTGGCTGCCGTAGATGGGGTGGGGATGGTGCGGCTCCATCATGCCCCCTATGTTGCCCAGGAAGTGGCGCGAGTGCTGCGTGGCCGCAGGCTTGTGCAACATCAGCTGCGGGTAGGAGGAGTCGCTGCCGCTGTTGGACAGCTGACCCATGCTGCTGTCTCCTCCTGGCCAGATGCGCAACTGCTGCTGAGACGGAGCCTGGCGGGAAAAAAGAGCGACCAGAGATCAAGACGAGTCGTTTTGGCGTCTTAAAGAGGAGCTAGAACGATGACTTACTTGTGGGCTCTGCATCTCGTAGTCTGTGTGAGTGACTGCGCTATTGTAGTACCGGTTACTGTACCGGTAATTTCGGTTGTCGTTGGAAGAACCGCTAGATCCACCTGGGTTGGGAGCGACAACAAAGAGCTCATGAAAAAATAGTCCTTTCCTAGTCTTACTGTCCCCAAGTAACACCGTGTCCTAATTACACGCAACGCGCTTAAATTCCAGCGACAGCAAGTGCGTCTGTCCACACTAGACGCGACGCGACTGTGAGACGCCACACGTCAATCAAAAATCACAGCCATTCAGAACAGCGTGTGGGCGGAGTCTCTCTGTGAAAGCGCACTGCTGGCCCGCACTCGCATTGGAAATAGGGTAAGGACATAATCAAATCAAGAAATAACATCAAAACATTAACAAAATATACATTGACTAATTTTGTTATGAAATACAGTTGTATGTTTGCATAGAATTCATTTTAAACGCTAAATTATACGCTTTCAAAATCTGAGGTAAATTATCCGTAATCGCTTGTGGCACAGTGACTTAATGCCTTTGAACTTCGACAATCAGTTCCTCGTCGTCCATGTTTGATGATTAAATATTCATGACACGCAGAACTTCCATCCAATGAGATCTCTGT